GATTTGCAATTGCCACGCTCCATAGTATGGTCATATGTGCCGGGATATCAATCATCCAAAACAAAATAGAAACAACTGATCTTAACTGATCCCACAAATTCATAAACCTCAGTTGGCTGCAAGTACACAGCAAACCAGCGGGACCCACTACTTGGAACATCACCCGAGGAACTTCTGTTGAGAGTTCCGGGAAAGAACACCACACCGCGGATTCTACTGTAGGTGGATGTGGGCGACTTCATTTTCTGTCATATTTTGGCTTAAAATGGTTTCATCAATCCTGCTTGCATGGAAGACTTTGAAAGATTTTTCAAACTCCGAGTCTCTCCAAATACACCAACCAGTGAATCAGTGCTGTCCGCGATGAAATTCCAGAAAAGATGATACAATGTGGGGCCCCCTAGTTATAAGTTGGTTTGTAACACCCATTAACTATAGTTATATCTGCCATAAACCATAGTTATGGGAGTTATAAACCAACTTAGCTAACTATGGGGCACCACCTTGCAGAAAAGATGATAAAGATGGTTTCACTTCGGCAGCTCCCAACCTCGGTTTCGAATCCTGGAGAGTTGGTTGCCGAAAAGCATCGAAAAGCTGGGCATGGCGTGGCGGCGCTTCCCCTCATGGAGAGAAGCCCTTCGCCAGGCAACTTGGCACCAGAAAACTGAACGGTTCGAAGACTTGAAGACCCCAGAAATTCTGACCCTGATTGGCAGGGAGTTGGAAATCGCTAGCTATTCAGGGCCATGACTCAGCAAGATGAGCGCTTGACCATAAAAGATGAGCGCTTGCGTTTGTCTTTTGTTCCCGTCTCCTATGAAAACCGTTGAAAAGTTCGGGGAAATCGATACTCCCAGAATTGGATTATGGGAAAATGTGGAAAATGTATAGGACCCCCTTTTTTTGTCTCCAGTAGATTCTCCCTCAGAAAATCCATTGACAAGTCCAGAAGTCCAGAGGGTCAGTCCTAAAACCCCGAGAGGTTCCTACGGAAGAAATCCTAGGAGAGACCATCAAAAGGTAAAAACATGGAGAAATAGCAATGTAGAAGAAGTATGCATGGGCATCCACAATGAGAATCCTTGTAATTGGTACGGGATGGTACCTATCAATAGATTTGTGACCATCCTCAATCCTCTAACATAGGCCATTTGCCCGTTGACATGGAATATATGGATGATTCCCTGCCGACTGTTGCTGGCAAATCCATCACCATGGATTTGGAGTCTAATTGTTCAAGATCTTGGGTTCGATTTCTGTATCAAACCATCTGCTCCAGCTCCTATCTCCGGAAATCCATCAATCCAAGAGACTTCCTAACAGCAAAACATGGCTCCGAAAATTCGTGATTTAGAATTTAGAAGCCCAATTGAGCAGTGTTCAAGATCCCTCTGTCATTCCATTATACTAGTTCTTGAATATAGATTCCCCATTCTTGGATTATGAAATAATCACCAGTATATGAAGGGTAGTATAATCCCAGAAATCATCAACCACCAGGGTTTTGCAGCCACTGCTCAATTAATTATGGCCATGTCTCATAGGGGAACATGATGATTTATGTCGGCGCAGGTCCAAGGACTTAGCCAAACACATGGTTTTTCTACTTGTTAATTCAATGACCCATGATCCATGGTTGTTTTTTTTTGAACCACCCTGGATCAAGGTATATAAGTTATAATATATATATATATTCTGTAATTATTGTCAATATATATATATATATATATCTACAGATCATCTTGGTCCAAATTTATAATGATCTGTTTGTATCTTTCTGTTGTCCTGTTCATGTTTACGTTCTTACACATGTAGCAGTTGCAGTATCAAAACCTATTCTGGATTGGTTCTACTGTGTGGCTACCAAATTTGGAGAATGGATTTGACTCATGCCCTCTAGCAGGAAAACCCGGCGAGATATGTTCGCATCGCCAACTGCCGTAGCATCCCTACTTTTGCAGATTCAATGTCCAATTTGCTGCAAGAAAAATCCCAAAGTTTGCAGTTCAACTCCATATGTTTGGAAGGCAAATGCCATTTATTCTTGGCGCATATCATTCTTCTAGTTGGTTCCCAGCCCCTGCGAAGTTCGTTTACCTTTTAGTGCTTTTGTATAAATTACCATCATCAAAAAAAAAACTAAAAGCCCGAGGGAATGGCTGGGAAACACCATGTTCTTGTTTGATCATCTGGCAACTCTTACAAGAACCGACAACAGGAGTCCACCGCACTTGCAAAATCGCCTCAGTTTGCTGCTGCCAAGGTGAAAGAACTTCGCACAACACGATGCCAGGTGCTCCGCAAACTCGCCCGCGGTCGTGCGATGGAAGGCGTGGCGTATGAATGGGGGATGGTCAAAGAGTCCAGATGGCTATGGATCAATACCTATAAGTACCATTTTTAGTGGGATGAACATCCATTTACCAGCTATTTTGGGGTTCACTAGGTACCAGGGTTTTGACCCATCCCCAGATCATCCAGGGATTGATTTCATGAAAGTAAACATAATTTTTGTGTTATGAGGAACCGCACTTCCTACTTGTTACTAATCATACCATCCCAAAACACCACGATTCCCTACAACTTCCCCAAGTCTGGGACCGGAAGATTGGTCGAAAAAAAGTCAAACTAAAGGTGACCTAGAGTTCTGGTTCCAAAGTCGCGTGACATTTTGACCCATACCCGCTCTCGCCAAATTCCCTTGCGTGGTTGGCGATGTGACTAACACAGACGATTTCCGAACACCAAATTGTTACCCAAATTATATATGTTGCTAATATCTTAAATTTTTAGATATATACAATACACTACACGAATTACACCACACCACAACTACAACTGCAACTGCAACTGCACTACACTAATTACACTACATTACCAGTAGTACCGCACAAGGCGGTGGCGGAAGTTTCAAAAATAGGAGACCTATAGGAGAGGTTGGTTGCTGTGAATCACGGATGGCAGAGCGAAGCCACTGATGGACCGACAGGTGGTTGAGGTCTCTTCTCTTTCTCTCTCTTTCTGTCTCTTTCTCTGACTATCTACCTACCTACCCACCTATCTATGTATCCATCTCTCTCTCTCTCTCTGTCTGTCTGTCTGTCTGTCTATCTATCTATCTATCTATCTCTCCATCTATCTATCTGTATATATCTGTCTATCTGTTTATCTATCAATCTAATCTAATCTAATCGAAGCGAATCTAATCTAATCTAATCTATATCTATCTATGTATCTATCTATCTATCTATCTATCTATCTATCTATCTATCTATCTATCTATCTATCTATCTATCTATGTCTCTCTCTGTCTGTCTGTCTGTCTATCTATCTATCTGCAAGCTTGAAAACGAAGCTATTCTGCGAGACTTCCTCAGTTTTTAAACTTGACAACAAAAAAGCAGCAATTCAGCGAGACTTCCTCAATTTTTGCACTTGACAACATGAAAAACGAAGCAATACTGCGAGATTTCCTATTTTTTAAAGTTGACAACATCAAAAACAAAGCAATTCTGCGAGACGTCCTTCAAAAATGGAAAGTTGAGTGCAGAGCTGACGGCCTCGTACCAATAAGTTTTGCGATTTTTCCAATCCATCTGTCTAAACTACTGCGCCTGCCACCAAAAAGTGATGCCAGGTCATACGAAGTGCTGCACCTGTCACACAAAATCATCTCAGCAAACCTGAAAATCTGAGGCTCCAAAATGCAACCCCTCTCAGGAAATCAGCGCCCGGACCTAACAGCTCTGATGGACATGTCTCTTGTACTGCGCCTGCCACGGAAAATGCATCTTTGCAGATCCTCGTCCCACGCCTGCCATTGCTTTTGGAAATGCTACAAAACCCTCACGTTTTGCTCACTTTTGACAAGGTCCACGATCCCTTGCGCCCGCCACGCGAAACGACATCTGAACGTCCATAAAGTGGCGCGAGCATGTGGTGTTTTTAACATGTGCTTCGCGCCACAACGGCGTGCACTTTTTCGACATCTCAACTTCCAAAAGTGGTCCGAACCTGGTGTGCTTTGTACATTTTGACTTCGAAATGTGCTTCGCGCCACAACGGCGTGCACTTTTTCGACATCGCAACTTCCAAAAGTGGTCCAAGCATGGTGTGTTTTGTACATTTTGATTTCGACATGTGCTTCGCACCACAACGGCATGCACTTTTTCGACATCTCAACTTCCAAAAGTTGTCCAAACCTGGTGTGTTTTGTACATTTTGACTTCGAAATGTGCTTCGCGCCAGAACGGCGTGCAATGTTTCATCTCTCATCTGGCCAGCTGGCTCCGCACCCGCCGCTTTAGCGAGCCTACTTTTCGACCCTCTGGAGACACAAAAATCATTGGAAAAACACAGTGTTTCGTGACTTTCCTACCTATTCGCGCACCTGCATCTTCTTTCTTCTGACTCTTTCTCTTCTCTTATTCTTCTCTCTTCTGCTCTTCTCTTCTCTATTCTTCTGCTCCACCTCTGCTTTTAATCTGTCCATATTGTCGGAAGTTTGACTTCTAAACTTCCTTCGATGATACTTAATTTTTGGAGAACTCAAATCTCATGATCGTTCGACTCTGGCTTTTTCTATAGCAATTTTCAGATCCCAGCTAGATGATTTGACATGCAGGGTCCCTCTTAAGTTTCTGGTGATCATTTGGATCACCAAGATGGAGATGGATTCAAAATATACATATGCCACACATATCCACATATATTCTAGAATAGAAGTGTACAAATATAGACTGGTACAATCCTAAACTGAAAATACATGAATAAATATATAGAAATTATAAACAGATTTCTGAGGCGTTGTCGAAACCAACCAGTCAGTCCATGCCACCACCATTGAATTCATCGGCTGTATGATCCTCTTCGGGTCTGTGAATGTCTTCACCCAGCAACCGAGAGGGATGGTGGTAAGCCACCGTGAGAAGAATAAAAGGCAATAGAAATAATAAAGTTAGTAGGTGCATAAGGTGCATAACACTTAAGTCACTCGGTGGCTGAAACATGCTGAAACCACCAGCCCAGGTTTTAGGCCGACATGTTCAGACATCATAAAATGCCAAAGATTGCGACGTTGATGGTCTCAACTTTTGTCCACGCTCATTTGGGTCATGGAACACCGCAGCCTGCATGCATGCGTTTTGCGGAAGCTGGTTTCTGGTTTCGCCAGTTCTTTTACCATCCTCTACAGGTACAAGCTGTATCTTCAAAAAAGAACTTGGCAACCAAGCGGTGCCTCTTGATTCGTAGCAAAATAATGGTAGTGCTACTGGTTTGGCAGACACCCAAAATGATCCTCAACAGAACTACCTGGTTCTGGTCCAATTTTGTGTTGCACTTTGGATAGCAGGCGCAGGCAACTAAGGGAAAACCATGGAAAACCATAAGCACAGCTTGAAGCAAAGGTAAGATTTGTAGTTTGTACCTTTCGTATAGGTAGTGAAAAACCATTACAAGTGACACCTTTCGATGGCGCTTGACTGCACCAGTCGATTCATGGTTAAAAGGACGCGCATTGGCTACAGAGCTGTTCGACTTGTGGTTAAAGTAAAAATGTCACCCTAGTCTTGCGCCCAAAAAAGACTGAGCTAGAGATGGGCTAGGCCCTCTAGGCAGCTAGCGTTTGACCATGTTTCACCAATTCCAACAAGTCTGGGAAAGCGAACGGCTTCCTGTCTCCTCCCATATATCAATGAACCGATGGGTGTTGCTGAAGGCGCGCCTCAAGCCATTCCTCAGCGGCCACCATCGGTGTCTTATGCAGCCCCGCAGGATAGCTAAGTTGCTTGTTTATGAATTGCTTAGGGTAACTAGGTGGATTTTTTTACGTGAATTGGGTTTATAAACCCACTGGAAAAACCACCTTGTATGTATACATTATATATATATTATACATATTATATATATATATATATGGAAAGGTAGCGATGCAGAGGGACCTGCCTTGGATCTATGAAACCTGTCTTGAAATGTCTTGAATAAGGTTCAATGGATTGGTTTAAGGGAAAATCTTCACCGCGGAAACCATCCATATTCCCATTATCATTAGGGGTGTTCCTGGAAATCTTCCCTTCAACCAATCCATTGAAAGGTTGATTTTAAAGGCCTTCATCAACCACCAAAGCCAGTCCAAATGCTCTGCAGCCGAAAAACTTCAGCTCATCATTTCAATGCAGCGAAGACCCATGGTTTCGAATGTGATGAAATCACATATGACAGGGACCAGAACAACCATGTGCGCTTACGTTTTCCGATCAAGGGACGGGATTTATAATACTAGTGCTGATAATATAACTTATAATACATTGAGAGATCCATATATCAATCCATCTTATAATCCAAAATTAAGATAATTAAGCCATACGAAAACCCCATATATCCATAGTGACCAGCAACATCCCAGCAAGATCCGAGATTCAATCCATCCACCGCCAGAATACCTTGGCAGCCCCGAAAATCCCGTGGATCAAAAAAAGGACTTCGCGACTTCGAAGATCCGAAAAATATCACAGCAAATCAAGACAAAAACCGAGAAAATCAATAGAAAATCATAGAAAATCATAGAATATACCCGTTCTGCAAAAGAGTTGACTCAGCCTGCCGATGGATTTTCCACGATTTTCCCTGCATGCAGGATACCATTCACACGTCCTCCGATCGGCAGCCGCATTGCGCAGGATGTGCTTTCGCCAATAGCTGTGCCGTGCATAGATCGATTCACCTGACACAAAAATTGCGAATCAGCCGGTCGTCGCGAGGAGTTCCCTCCACGGAATCTGCATAGAAATGATCTATGTAATGTACTGCAAATGTAATGTAAACGTAATGCAAATGTAATGTAAACGTAATGTAATTAAATGTAATGCAAATGTAATGTAAACGTAATGCAAATGTAATGTAAACGTAATGTAATTAAATGTAATGCAAATGTAATGTAAACGTAATGCAAATGTAATGCAAATGCAATGTAAATGTAATGAAAAAGACATGTACATGTAGTCCTAATGTACTGTAAATGTACTGTACATGTAATGTAAATGTAATGTAAATGTAATGTAAATGTAATGTAAATGTAATGTAAATGTAATGTAAATGTAATGTAAATGTAATGTAAATGTAATGTAAATGTAATGTAAATGTAATGTAAATGTAATGTAAATGTAATGTAAACGTAATGTAAATGTAATGTAAATATATGTAAATGCAATGTAAATGGTACGTACAGTATGTGTGTGTATGTGTGTATGTGTGTATGCGTGTATGTGTAGTTTCGTATGTGTGTGTGTGAATGGGTATGCCCGTGTGTATATGTGTATATGTGCATGTCTGTGTGTATGTGTATGTCTGTATGTAAATGTGTGTATATGTAAATGTGTATCTGTATATATGTGTATGTATATGTATATGTCCATATCCATATATGTTTTCATGTATATTTACATGTGTAAATCATGTATATGTATATGTGTATGTACTTGCATTTGTGTATATGTATATATATACTGTGTATCATGTATTTGCATATGTATATCATGCGCATGCATGCGTATATGATGTACATGTATGTGTATATGTGTATGATGTATATCTATGCATGAATATATATATATATGTACATGTACGTGTATATACATGTATATACATGTCTATGTATATGCATATAATATATTATATAATATATTATATATATATGTGTGCAAGCCTCTCTGTCTCTTTGTCATGTCAAGCAACACAACTCCTATGTCATATATGCATGCAAAATGTGAAGGATTGCAAATTGAAGCAATAATTTTGAGGAAAAAAATGTGCAGTGCAACGAGAAGCAATGTCCAGTGATGTGAAGTAAACAGTGCAACGAGAAGCAATGTCCAGTGATGTGAAGTAAACGTATCTCTGTGTGTGTGCATGCGTAAGTGTATGTGTATATGTATGTGTATTTGTACATGTACGTGTACGAGTACGTGTCTGTGTACATCTAAGTCTAAGTGAACGTGTAGGTAGGTCGGTTGCTAGGCAGGTATGTATGTATGTTATGTCATGTCGTGTCGTCTTATGTTATGATATGTTATGATACGTATCATCTGTTGTATCATGTTATTTTGCGTTAAGGTCAGTTGTGTTGCATTATGTTGAGTTGTGCTGCGTCATGTTACATCATGCTATGTCATGTTGTACCATGTTATGATATGTTATGTCTTGTTCTGCCATGCTATGTATGTCTGTAAGTGGTTGCATGGTAGGAGGCTGGCAGGCAGGCAGGCAGGTAGACAGGTACTATATGCATGCTCTTCTATAGACCAAATATGAAATAACTACGAGCAAAAACAAATGTAAAGATATATATATATAGTCACTATATGTCACTATATAGTCCATGCTAGAAGGCAGGTCATCAAGCAAGTTGAACATGATGTGGAACCCTATCCTTGGAGAATCGTCTTGTACGCCGTCTGCAGAGTCCTCGAAGCCACATGTCTTTGTGAAAAATCTTAGCAGAGACCATGCCATTTCCTGGGATACACCACTTGGCTATGGAGAACAACCCGGGTAGCCTTATGTTAACTTCAAGATCGCTGGCAGTTCTGGATGTTAGAACTTTAAATCCCCGATTCATCTGGAAAACCTGCTGGCTTCTGACCCATCCCGACTATCAATCCATATCATTTGAATCCGTTTGAACCCATTGAAGATATATATATATATATTATATATATATATATATTATTATATATATATATCCTTTGGAAATCTAAAGTTTGATATGGATTGATATGGAACATCCCCCTGTTTTTTTTAGTAAATCATCTGTCAGTGCAGCCCTGCCTCCGGCTCCAACCAATTGCGAAAGTTTTCATAATCCTGGCTACTCGGCTACTCCAATCTGGATGTGATGACTGAACATGGAAGTTGCAGCTATGGAGGGCCCCAATAATTGATGTCTGGTAACCGAACATAGAAATTGCATTCAACTATGTTCAACTGTTCAAACTATTCCATAGTTATTTGTTACCAGACATACCCTCTGGTAATTTAACATAGCTATTGAAAATGGCTCATTTATAGTTGATTTACCTATTAAAAATGGTGATTTTCCATAGCAAACTGTTAGTTTACCACAGGGTAGTTATTAGAATGATAACGGATGATTCAACTGTGGAAAATCATCTGTTCCAAAAAAGTTGAATGATCGAACTCCATGGGCCATAGTTTCTGGTTATTTATTTAACATAGCGAACTGGAAGCCATGGCCCATTTATAATATTTATAGTTGATAAAACATGATGAGTTACATTAATTTAAAATGGATAAAATGGTGATTTTCCACGACTCGCTAGGTTAAAAAAAAAGGAGGGTGCTGTATCTTGCTTCGGCTTTGGGGGAGGTTTCTCATCGCCATGGTAAACCTCCAGATGTATATCTCAGAAGCTGAACTGACAAAATTCCTGGTTCAGTGTGAGGTTGAACTTGGTTTTTCAGCATGAGGAATTTCAGGAAAATCACACTGCTGGTTTCTTGACAAAAGAAAAGCGGTGTGATTAATGAAATTCCTCATGCTGAGAAAAAAATGTGGGCTGGAGATTCAAGGTTATCGACGCAGACCTCTTTGCTAGCAATACTTGTATCCCATGCATATGGCAAAATTAACAAAAATGGTCTAGTCTATGTATTCCTAGGTTCAGATATCGTTTTACATCACTTGGGTGATCCGTTGTTATCAATTCGTCAAATGCTTGGTGCACCCTATCTGGAAACCGAAGGTACAGTACATGTCGTTTTTGTTGGTTCGTACGGGTTGTGCCATGTTTGTTCATGGCAGGGTGAAAATCCCTCAAATACGGCCATTTGTACATGTAAATATAGCCCTCTATCCATTTGATTCCAAGAATATGGTGTCTCATATTTGGGAAGGCAATATTTGAAACAGTATGTTGAAACCCAGTTCCTTTTCTTTTTCAGCATTACAAATATGCTGAATCGCGCGGATTTACCACAGCAGTTTGAGGCCAGCCTTTGCAGCTGTTTTGTGGTTGCGGGGGTTACCTTCATGCATGGCTAACCAAAGCAAATAAAATCAGGTGTTGGATGGGGTTCGATTCCTCCATATGTGTATATATATATAGATGTGTGTTGGTGTTGGTGTTGTTGTTGTTGATGATGTTGATGTTGATGTTGTTGTTGTCGTCGTCGTCGTTGTTGTCGTTGTTGTTGTTGTTGTATTATCTGAGTTTGTACAATTATGTGTATATTAATGTATATATATATATATGATTCTATATATGATTCTATATATGATTCTATATATGATTCTATATATGGCTAAAAATTAAGTCATGAACCCAGCCAAGGTTTGCCATATGGGTGTGTCTGACAATATGGTAAAATCCCAAGTTTGGAAACTCACCTTCCCTATTTATTCGATTTAGATATTATATATACATAAATGTATAAGAGATAAATATATATATATATGAATATGCATATGCATATGCGTATGTATGTATGTATGTATGTATGTATGTATGTATGTATGTATGTATGTAGGTATGTATGTATGTATGTATGCATGTATGTATGTATGTATGAATGTATGTATGAATGAATGAATGAATGAATGTATGTATAAATGTATAAATGTATGAATGTATGTATGGAAAGATAGATAGATGGATAAGATTAGATTAGGTTAGGTTAGATTAGATTAGATTCAATTAGATGAGAGTAGGTTAGATTAGATTGATTAGATTGATTAGATTGATTAGATTGATTGGATTGATTAGATTGATTAGATTGATTAGATTGATTGAATTGTTTTTTGATTGGTTAATTGATAGATAGATAGATAGATAGATAGATAGGATGATAGGTAGGTAGGTGGATACATAGATAGATAGATAGATAGATAGATTAGATAGCTTAGATAGATTAGATAGATTAGATAGATTAGATAGATTAGATAGATTAGATAGATTGGATAGATTAGATAGATTAGATAGATTGGATAGATTAGATAGATTAGATAGATTAGATAGATTAGATAGATTAGATAGATTAGATAGATTAGATAGATTAGATAGATTAGATAGATTAGATAGATTAGATAGATTAGATAGATTAGATAGATTAGATAGATTAGATAGATTAGATAGATTAGATAGATTAGATAGATTAGATAGATTAGATAGATTAGATAGATTAGATAGATTAGATAGATAAGATAGATAAAATAGATAAGATAGATAAGATAGATGAGATAGGTGAGATAGATAAGATAGAAAGAAAGAAAGAAAGATAGATAGATAGATAGGTAGATAGATATAGCTATACTTTCCTCCCCATTTTGGATAATCTTTGGGCCATATCTTCACCATGACAATGCCATGTATGCCATGTCACCTCCTCCGCGAAGAGGCTCTTCAAATGAAAAGCATCACGCTCTTCTTGCGGAAGATAAAATTTCACCTGCCGCGTTTCTGCGTTTCATGCTGAAATTTATAATAACCATAGTTCATGGGCTGATATGACTGATATGAGATAGTTGTTAAAGTGCAATAAACACTATAGTTAGTATTTACTATAGTTGGTTTATCTTCATGGGTTTTAACGAGTGTTTATTGGGTAAGTATACTTAATGGATGTTAATGGGCCGAAACTAAAGCAACTTGTACTTGAAGGGTCCCACTGTCCCACACTTTTCCAGATGACTTCACCCCAGACTCAGCCAATTATGGATGTTATAGACCAGATTCTGTGGTAACCTTTGGTAATATGGTCATGTTGTGTTCCAGTTTCACAACCACTAACCACATCATAACCACAGGATCTTTGACCTTACCACCATGGCCGGCGCTGGCCGGCACCAGCAACGACAAGAACAACCGCAACAACCACAGCCCCAAAGACAACAAGAAATAGCAACAAAGAGCAACAACAAATAGCAGCACCATACGAACTCTATAACTAACTACGTCAGTACTTAGCTAGCTCACTAACTAATGAACTGACCAACCAGCTACATTTTTTCAACACTGCACAGGCCTCTGTGACTCGCATCGACTCTCCTGCAGCACACTGCTGACCCGATTTATAATCTGTGGCCAGCAAAGAATGCATAAGATGATGTCAATCTACAATACATTCACGATAGATTCACGATAAACATATAAAATCATATAAATATAGAGACAGTATGGAACAAATAGAGAGGCAGCATAACACAATGAATCTATCATACTAATTATGTTTATAAAACTAATCCTGGAAATAATCATAGAGCAAGGACCGCCTTCGTCGTTTCGATTCTTATGAGTCAACAAAGAACAAGCTTGGGCTGGTACACTGATTGATGAGCCATTTCCCAGGACCACATCATAGCCTTAATCATATACAAATGGAGGATTGTGTATTGCAATGTTTGATTGCCGGATGGTATTCCGAAAAAAGAACATCAACTCCAAAGTAGAAGTCAAGTGCAGCATCTTCATGACGGAGATACGATGATTGGTATTTTGTCAGCACTTTTCTATGCTGAAAGTACGGTTGTGTTGATCCACCCAAACATAACAAAAAACCGTCATAATCAGCCCATGACTATTTTCTCTTGTTGGTGGTATACCGCTCTGAAAAATATTTTGGTCAGTTGGGATGAGTGTTCCAAATATATGGGAAAAATAAAATTCATGTTCCAGTCACCACCAACCAATTCTCGAAATAGGCAAGAGCCATCCCAAGAAATTGATCATCAACCAGCATAGGTCCGAAAGGGGCCGTTTTAGCTTGACACCAAGTCTTCACAGCCCAAACTGGCCAACGCCCTGTCCCAATCATAGAGATACAAAAGCCATGTAGGACCAGACATCAGTTGTGTGATACAAATCCATAGAAATCCCAGAGTTCTTCCACTAGGTACTAGCCTCACATGTATGAACTTTTTCGGGATTTGCAGTTTTTGGATCACACTCCTGGAGTATCCTGGTCCTGCAGTCCATGTTCCCAGAATTCAGGTCATAACGTCACAAAAAAAATCCAAGTAAACCATGAAACCATGAAATCATGGTTTGGGGATGCCCAAATTATGGTTTCCTGCTTCGATGTTCCCTTCGACCTTTTTCTAGCGATACATCATTCAGGGATGTTCCGTATTCTCCCCATAAAATCACTGAGCCAAGCTGCTTTCCAAGTCAATTTCCAACTCCATACGGACCCCGTCCGGAAGGACTTCCTGAGGATTCTCTGGTCTTTCAAAGGTGATTTTGATGGTTTCTGTGGAACTTCATGATGTTTCATGGGGATATAATATATATATACCCTCTGGTAAACTAACAGTTCTCTATGGAAAATCACCATTTTCAATGGGTAAATCCACTATAAATCACCATTTTCCACAGCTATGTCAGTCATTACCAGAGGGTTAATATATAATGGAATTTACAATCCCGCCCAACCAACATATACCACATGTACCGCATAGACCACAGACCCTGGTTAAATTCCCATAGTTGCTGATGGTTTCGTTCTTTTTCTCAAGGAAGTAGAACAGTTACATGGCAATGACACTGCCAATGCAGGACCATACCACAGTGATGCCCACTGAAAAACCATCCGTTTTTCACATGGCAGCCTGGCATGATATGGCTGACAAAAATGATATATAGAACGGACCATTAAATCATTTTGTTTAAATCAAAGCTTCATCGAAAAAGTAAAAGTTTGATGTTTGATTTCAAGCCACACATTCCCATAGAATTTGATAGCTGTATTCTTGATAGCCATCTGTCCATGGCACCCATCTGGATGTTCCAGATGTTCCAAGCATCCCATTGTGTCATGGAGCCAATTGAAGTTGAAACCTCCAGGGCACAATTTTCGCACCAGAAACGTCGCGGAATGTCTCGGAGACCCCCACACCCCTAAAGAAAAAAAACTGAATGTGAAATCTTGAGAAAGTGGCCATATAAAATCTGAACAACATATTTCTGCACATCAATTGGTCAGGTATTTCCTAGTCTTCATGATGAGAAAAGAAGGCTACATTAAACTATAGTTTTCAGTCGACACAAAAAAACATTGTTTCAAAAGTTACATAAAAACTACACGGATGTGTCAATGGGATATGTTAAACTAAACTGCCATGCAAAAACAGGGGAGTTTTTCTGGGAACCACGGATGATTCACCATAATTCGCCATCACATTTTCCAGGTTTTTCCTCGGTTTTCCAAGCCGCCACATCCCAACAAAAAACCGATGTCGTGCCTCCAAAAGTCCTGTCTCTCTCACCTCCTGGTAGCGATATGCCATGACAATATGGAGGTTGCCTGAAATAGAGGTACCCCCACATCATTCACTGGATTGGTTTAAGGGAAAATCTACAGGAAACCATGGTTTTTACCATCAAATATAGGGCTTTCCTGTAAATTTTCCCATAATCCAATTCTATGAATCATCCATTTGATGGAGTTTCCATTCTAAACCATTCATTTGGGAGTACCCCCATTTATGGAAACCCCAATTGGGGGCGTACGCATTCTGAATTGATACACAAGATACCTTACACAATCTTCAACATTAACCATACATGAACCATACATGAACCACACATGAACCATACTGACCATAGTCCACACAATATGAAAAACATCTCTAAACGGTCACTGTGAAGTCCCGAAGCCGGACCAGCCAAAAACCTGTCTGAACCCTAAACATCCTGGACATCCTAAACCTTGTGGCTTCCTGCAACGACCTCGCCGCTACTTGCATAAAACCATAGAATCCTACAAAGTGAGGCCCCCTAGATCCCTAGATCGCTAAGTTGGTTTATAACTCCAATAACTATATGGTTTATGGTACTTATCCGCCGACCCCGGCCGACGCAAGGGGGAGCGCACCAAGGAATAGGAGTGCCAAACCCCGTACTACTACTTTCATATCCGCCGACCCCGGCTGATGCACGGGGGAGCGTCTCAAGGATTATAGGTTTCTGTTTGTGCAACAACAGCAGCAGCAACAACAGCAACAACAACAACAACAGCCTTTAAGGGTTTCTAGGGATTCAGACGACACGTTGAGCCTTTTTGCGCGTTAAGCCGTTAAGGGTTTCAAGAGATTCAGACGACACGTAAAGCCATGTTTCGCGATTTGGGCGACTTTTCGGCACGAAATTATGAGCTGTTTTGGTGTGGCCAGGGGTCCGATATGGAGGCCTGAGAGCTGCAGTTTGGCGGTAAGCAGCAGCAGCAGCAGCAGCAGCAGAGAAGAAGCTTTTTTCTATGGGATTCAGACGACACGTTAGGGCCTTCACTGGCATGGTGTTTTCCTGTCCGGGAGCCTTGTTTTGGGCTGCCATGTCTCCTTTTCATTCCTTTTCGGTGTCTTTTTTGTAGCCGTGCTGGCAACTCCATTTCTAGCTCTTTTGGAAGGGTTTCAGACGACATGTTAGGCATTTATTCAGTGCGTCTTTGTGGCTTTTCCATCCTTCACTGGGCCAACATGGGGCCAACATAGGTCAACGTAGGGCCAACATAGGGGCAAGACAGGGCCAACATAGGCCAAGATAGGGCTAACATAGGCCAACATAGGGCCAACATAGAGCCAACATAACATAGGCCCAACATGGGCCCAACATAGGCCCAAGATGGGCCGAACCTGGCCCAACATGGACCCAAGGGCGGCCCTTCAATCCGGGATGGTCTAAGATATCGCCAACATTGCCTCAACATGAGCGCAACATGCTCCTTGCACTGACTTCAGGCAGTTTCTCTGCCGGCGCCCGGCTGTCAGGCTTAAGCCCTTAAATAAAAATACTTACTGGGGCTTATAAACCAGCTTATAACTGGGGGCCCCACATTGCATACAATTTAAGCTTTCTTGCCAATGACAAATGATAAGAGGTTCTTCTACTTGGCCAATCTTGGATAGCCTGCAAACATGTGTTTTAGCTGGTTAGCTTACGTAACACATCACATGTATAGCAAGGATTCAGTTGTCTTAAAGTACCCTGCACCAAGGTTGACTTAGTTATGAAGCGTGCATGTCTCATTAGTTCTTGGTCTAAATTTGTCCTCTCCAATGCTACTTGGAGGGCCGTCCAACGAAACGTAAGTGGTTAGGAACCATAGGTTATAACACTAGTCACTAACCCATCCTGGTTGGTGGTTTCAACCCCTCTGAAAAATATGAAAGTCAGTTGGGGTCACTATTCCCAATATATGGAAAAATAAAAAATGTTCCAAACCACCAACCAGCATCTGTACATGGAATAGCCCGCTTCGGGGACTTACCAAGCATCATTTTTCATGACGCTGAGGTGACGTCGTGACAATTTACCATCCTCCCAAGTAAAATAGATCCAGCGGCACCCAGATTTTACATCTAAGATGTCAGATACGCCCCTTCTAGATGGCTTTAAATACCTAGATATTGGTAGATCATAGTTTAGTATCTATACCGGTAAACTAACACTTCGCTCTTGAAAATTGCCATGGTGAGTTCGTTGATTTACCCATTCAAAATGGTGGATCTTTCCATCGTTTTCCGTGGGGACCCCCAAGGGCTCCTTGCGCTGACTGCAGGGACTCCTTGGACTTCCCGGAAGCGATTCGGGGAGCACCTTGCTGCCCTTGCTGCCCTTGCTGCCCTTGCTCTCGCAAGGCTGCCACCAGGCCGCAGCCTGAAAAATAAAAAAAAAACAACGTTGCGTTCGGTGGAGAAAATTGGCGTCAACGCTTCATAGCTATTATAATATGCTATATATGGCTATATTATGGCTATCTCATGGCTATCTCATGGCTATATTACTGTATGCTATTATGATTTATTATTCTACTGTATATAATATACACATATTACATACATATTACATCAATACCTGAATGTGTGTCTGGTTGACCGCGTTTGTAGCTGATGAATTGATGGTATCGTCTCATGTTCCAACTTTGGATGTCGCCAGGGCTTTTTTTCGCGGACGGAAATGGAAATCAGGAGACGACAGCGAACCCTCAGCAGGAAATGATCCTGTGACTCATTCAAGTCTTATTTTGAATATCCCATCTTCAAGAGATTCTGCATATGAAATGTGGAAATATCAAACATCAATCAACACCGCTTTGCACAGCTTTTGTGAACATTAGTGGATGCCAAACGGCACCGCGTTTTCATCCAATCTGTGGAGTTATTGGGTGTTCCACAGATTTTTATCAGGCCTTCAAAACCAAAGAGCATCTTGGTACCCAGCTTTCTGTAGAGTCTGAATCTTCCAAAACAGCGGAGTCTATGAGTTTCATCCACCAGACTCCACCATTTGAACAAAAAATGGTAAATGATATGTTTTCACAAATCCAAAGACTGCTCCTCTTCCAGCTTTCAAGCCACCAATGAACCCCACCTTGGCCAAACAGCTCAAATCGGCCTGGGATCTCGGATAAAACGTTCGGAAAACAGAGGGGATCCATCCCTGATTTCGGACATGTTTCTGGGGAAAGCGAGGTGCTTAACATTGGTGAAACACCATCGAAATTTGGGGGGAGCCTATTTTCCGACAAAGCCACTTGGTTCAGCTCGATTTTGGAACCCCACTGTGAAAACGAACATCTCCTAGTCAAAATTCGCAATTCATGCGGTGTTTTAATCTTAAACCTTCAATTCTTCTGGGTCTGAAAATAACCCCCCAAAACCCAAGTGGAGGTTTCCAATCCATGGAGGTACCCCCAGTTGTCATTTATTTTATTTGGGATCAATGGGAATTCCAGGATCCTAAAATGGAGGTATGGTACCATATAAGGCCATATTTTGTGGGTGTATCCCCTTATATAGCCCTAAAAAATTGGCCTTATATATATATATGTACCTCCAATTTAAGTTCCTGAAATGGCCAAAAAAAACCGGATGTTCCATGAAATTTTTACCAACCTATGCTCGCTCGCTTGGGGTAGCCATGGGTAACCCACCTTCTCGGCCGAAGTCTGTTTCCAAGTGGACTGCAACACGCTCGAGGTGAATTGGGCTTCAAGCTGTTGGTCAAGGCCTCTGGAAAAGAGTCTGGGACCTAAAAACATCCCAAAAAGCCAAAAAGTATCCCTAAATCTGATGATTTGTATGTTCTTTAAATATATATATATGCATATATACATATGTATATGTGCATGATTATATGTGGCTGTGTCTGAAAATGGGGTATACCCCATTTTAGCAATTTTAATTGGGAAATGATTCTCCTCAACAAAACACCATCGCCAACAGAGGTTTATACCCCTAGTTGGGATGACGTAAAATGACCTAACTTGGCTATTTTTCGGAGATCTTTGGCGTAGCATTTTCAGACACACCCGAATCCTGTTGAACAACCCATCAAAAATCTATGGGAACTGCATGATTTTTTCGAGTTCTTCCGCTTGAAAATTCACCATTTCCCAAGTACGAGTTGGTGTGTTGGTCGGAAGACACGGCCAATCTTAGATACCCTGCAATTAGAAAAGGAACTGTTCGCTATTGGCTATTTAGCACGTGCGTATTATATAAATACTATGTATATCCATATATATATATCATATCATATCTATCTATCTAACTATCTATCTATCGATCCATCCATCCATCCATATATTTCTGGCAAAAGATTGATTCAAATCCTGGTGACACGACTTCGCCTGTGAGAAGTTGCCACAGCTGCCTCAACCGATGGCCTGCATCCTCACCTTGCGAGGATATGGGGAGATGAGGGGAAGATCATGGGGGGGCTTGGGGGCTACATATCATATACTGTGTATATTATGTATGTATATTGCAGGTGCCGGAATTATAGAACGGAAGTTGAGGAGTACGAAGGTACGGTTATTTACCGTACCCTGTTGTTCTATAATTCTGTTTTCCTCGGAAGGTGTGAAAAAAAAACGTATCTGAATTTACTCCTAACTTTTTTCGTCGTTCTATAATTCTTGTCGGAGCGCTGCTGTTCTATAATTCTGTTTTCCCCCATTTTTCTCACATTTCCCATTTTCGTTCTATAATTAATGTTTCCCGGGCCCCGTTCTATAATTAATTTTTCCGTCGAACGGAAAAATTAAGTATAGAACGGAAAAATTAATTATAGAATAATAGAACCTCTTCCGGGGTCCCAGAAATCCTACAAAATCACCATGAAATCTAAGAAAATCACCGTGAAATCCCATAAAATCACCATGAAATCCCATAAAATCACCATGAAATCCCATAAAATCACCATGAAATCCCATAAATTCACCATGAAATCCCATAAAATCACTATGGAATCCCACAAAAACAACATGAAATCTAAGAACATCACCATGAAATCCATAAAATCACCATGAAATCTCAGAAAATCACCATGAAATCTAAGAAAATCACCTGGTAAATGTGGGAAAAATGGGGGAAAACAGAATTATAGAACGGAAGTTGAGGAGTACGAAGGTACGGTTATTTACCGTACCCTGTTGTTCTATAATTCTGTTTTCCTCGGAAGGTATGAAAAAAAACGTATCTGAATTTACTCATTAAATCTTCATTTTATAGATTGTATATGTACAAATATGCAGTAAATATCATGTCAGTGCCAGAAATTATAGATCGGAGCCAGGAGTAATTTAATTATAGAACGGGGAAATTTAATTATAGAACGGGGAAATTTAATTATAGAACGGATCCCCGTTCTATAATTAAATTTCCCGACTCCGCGCGGAATGGGAACCCGGAGGAGTACAAAGGTACGGTATTTTACCGTACTTTTGTACTCCTGGCTCCGTTCTATAATTCTGGCACCCGCTGTATGTATATATATATATATTGTCATAGATGTTTGATATAGAGTTATACACTGTATATCATAATTCAGCTAGTAGATCATATAAGATAGTATAAGCAACAATGTATAATAATAATATATATATATCATATTATATTATATATGACATATATGACATCTATCTGAATTTCATCAGAATTCAGCAGCCGGAAAAGTCGCAAGGCTAGGTCGTTATAATCTGTTCAGATGGATAATCTGATACAATGGGCCAGACAAGGCAGATACCTGCTATCCACATCATACACACATTTTACTATCATCAAACGTGGTAAATGGTTTGCACAAATACATAAGTTCACTCCTCAAAATTGACAGGTGTCATATTTGTTTAAAACCATGTTTAAAGCATCATTTCTGCACTTCCAGTTCCTTGCACAGGGAGAATTCTCAACGATCCAAGAGGCACCAAATCTAGCTGCAAACGACATAAATAAAGAATGTGTGTGGCTTCAACAAAAACATTGCCATATATAAATATATGATAATATATTGTCATATGTTCATATCTGGTTGGTGGTTTTTTAACCATCTTGAAAAATATTAGTCAATGGGAAGGATTATCCCACATATTATCGCAAATAAAAAAGGTTTGAAACCACCAACCAGTTCATATATATATATGCCCATAATATCTGTGTCCAAAACGCGTCCTGGTGAGACCCCCAGATCCCTTTTTCTACCCAGTGCCTTCATGGAGCGCCAGTTGCAAGGGTACCCGTAACTGCTGCAAGACCAGCTTCAGACCTCGCCGCAGCAAAAACTTGAACGGGGCAAACGGTTTGTGTGTCCTAGTTGGCCATCAACATTTTTGGGGGGATATTAGCCTCCAGTAAATTAACATAGACCCTGGTTGGAAGAGGGGTTGGAAGATTAGTGAAACCACTAAACATGGGTTATTTTCAGGGTCTATGTTAATTATACCAGAGGGTATGTGAAAAATGTGACAACAGATTCTTGAAATGTCTTGAAAGTGATCTTCAAAATCCTGAAAATGTGACATTTAGAAAAAAAAAGAACTGTTGAACTTGCTGAAGAATCCATGGAAGATTAGCCATCCCTGTTCACCCCCTGGCTTATGAAACCTGCAGAAAGTGACTTTCTTCACGCCCCATGGGAAGTGCCACATATGGCTTCGATGACTGACCGAACTTAGTGAGGATTCCATCGGTAAGTCATTACCTGTCATGGCCTTGACAGCTGGCAGTTACTACATGGTTCTACCAATTTCTACAGTATAAGTATCATGCAGTGTCATGACTAGTATCAAGCTATTGTTCAAAAACCTATGTCTACGAATTTTGGGCCGAACATAAATCGATTGGTCAAATCTGGGGTGCAAACTGGTCGGACTAGCTACGTCTTTTTTGGAAGGTGGCCCAGGTGCAGATCAACATGTGATCCCCTTCCAGTTATGAATCTGTTAATGGCGTCGGTGAAACGATGAAACTGACAATTGCAATGCAGTCAGTTGTGTTTAAAAAAAGAATCATCCAGGAACTCTGTTCGTCAGGATGTCCCGCAGTAAACTATATACTAAGTTTTACTAATTCACTCCCATTCTTGACAAGCCTTTAGCGGGCTGGGACTGAATTTGTGTCACCCCCAAATTGACTTGGTTGTGGTTTTGTTTATTGGTTATGGTGGCTCATCCCACTTAGTAAGCGGATTTAAAAAAAAAAAACGTTATAGATGGGGTTTTTGTAGGGTATAGTAGGGTTAATCGACTTATAATTGGGGTTATAATATGTTATAATCCATTTACCCTCTGGTAAACTAACATAGCTATGGAAAATCACCATTTTTTATGGGTAAATCCACTGTAAATGGTCATTTTCAATAGCTATGTTAGTTTACCAGAGGGTAAGTGGGATGAGCCACCAAGTATTCACTAAATCAAAACCTCTGGTCCTCTTGGCTTTGAATTTTGAATCAGCCCACCAGATCACCATAGATGAAAAACCCTCCAAGTCCCACATGTGATCAAAATCCCGGCTTTCAAGTTTTCACATGTCACGGTTTGGTACCCCCTGAAGTAGGAACAAAACAACCTATTTGTGGACAAGATCCCGATATGTTCCCATTCAAAATCCTAACTCACAGATATTTATTTCCCAAAAATCGCCAGATCAGTTTTTATCACAACATGTACTGTAACTAAAAAAAAAAACGGATTGATGGTTCAATGGTCAAAGAACAATGAAAAAACATCCATTCAGCTGAGGCGCAGTGGTGCACCTTTGCCACAGATAATTCCAGAGTCGGCTCCGTGCTGCCCTGGAGCAATGTACTGCCTCGGTGTCTCGGTGGGTGGATGGTTGAAGTTGTTCAGGAACGCATTTCTTGCTATGCTTAGAAATTCTTGTTGTATGGATCATTGTTGATGGATCAGCTATAGTTTCATAAACCATCCATGGAATCCATGGTTTTTCTCGCGCTTGATTGATGTAGATTCTATGGATGATATCGGTGGATCAAACCGGAGATCTCGGGCGGAAACCAGGATGGGTCCCAGGGATGATCCGTTGCAGAGTTTTCCTGTTCATTTCCCCTGGTTTTTCACCATTTCTGGAACCTCCCAGATTGAAATTTCGGTCCCAAGGTTGGCGATGGTTGATTTCACAGTCCCAAGTTCTGTCGAAGATGATCCCAGCTAGCGGTCTTCACTCCACCAAGAATAGACCGTGGCATCATTTGCGTTATTCTCTTTCTATCGAAACACCACAATGATATAAACCATATCTTCGAGATCTTGCAAGATTTTAATTTTTGAGTTAAAAAATGGAGGCTGAATGAAGTCACGGTCATGAAATTGTAGAGATTGAGTCTGGCCTGTTTACAAGACCTGGTGCCATCGCGAAAATACGGGTCCAATCTAGGCACCGTGCGCTCAGCTTTCTCAAGATACCCTCTGGTAATGACTCACATAGCTATTGAACATGGCCCAGTGGATTATAGTGGATGAATCCCCATTGATAGCATGGTGATCATGGTGATGTTCCATCGTTTTTTGTACCAGAGGGTATGTTTGAAAGTCTTTGATGTGTCTCATTTGTCAATACATCACCCCAAGGGATTCTTCTATGGGACCATCAAATGGCCAAGCGGGCGTCAAATGGGGGGGCTCCATAGGCTCCATAGGCTACCCCGAAAGCTGGATGGTTTATTTCATGGGAAATCAAAAAAAATAGATGATAACTGGGGGTGTTATAAAGCTGTAACAGTCTAAGCTTCGTGATGCTTTTGCTGCCACGAAATTCTGCGAATACAAGCCAGTCCTTTTGTCATGACGTTGTCCTTTATAAATGTAAATGTCCTCGGGTACTTTCTACTCATCGATCTCGCTAGCAAGCGTACCTAAATCAGGGGTAGGAACACATTTTTGCACCATGCTGCCTTCTGGATCCACAGTTTACCAGGCCATGGCACAAATGGGCACCGTCAGGAGGGATACCAACTCCACGACCCGAGGAAAGGCCTGGTGAAAGGGGGGTTTTGGGTCACTAGTAGTCACTAGCAAGACATCAAATGTGCTTTATACATCAAGAGAAAAAGGAATACCCTCTGGTAAACTAACATAGCTATTGAAAATAGTCATTTATAGTGGATTTATCCATTAAAAATGGTGCTTTTCCATAGTTACGATAGTTTACCAGAGGGTAAAACTACCGGAAACTATATGTATCAACATTTGGAACCAGACTCCACATGGCACGAAGTTCAAAAAATGGCCAGATCTTGCATCCAATGGCCAGGGTGCGATCCATCGATCCATGAGTCCATGAAAAATTAAGGCCGGTGTCTAACCTACCGTACCAAGATATCCAAGATTTGGAACATGCCGATTTGAGTGATATCCACTAGCAGTGACTTTGACCCCGTCCGTTGGCCCACTGGCAGGCGGCAGAATCAGACCAGATTTTGAGGGTACTCCACGCAAGAATGGTCCCCACAATGTTGTCTTTGATCATCACGACCTAAATCGTCAAAGTATGTGTCTTTTTGGGCCGACATCATTTAAAATTGTCTGAACATACGCCGCGCTATCCGCTATACCCCAAGTTTGATGCTTGATAATCATGACGTCTATTAAACTTAAAATGTTCTGAAAATGGCCAAACATGGTGGAAATCCTCAATTTTAGGGTACCAAAAGCCACAAAAATCCAGCTGCTCCAGCTGGCTGGGTGCAGTGTGCCTTGTCCACTGGCCAAAAGCATAGAAGCAACGCCGCAATGGTCCAAAGCACGAGTCCGGATGGTATCAAACCCACGCCTGGGACGTTGGTGTGGCAGGGGTCATCATGGGAGGAACCGGGACATTGGGTGATATTGGTAGATACCCTCCGGTAATGTTCATGGTCCATTTATACTTGATTTATCTATTTAAATGAATTTAACAAAAGTAGTTTTCCATTGCTATCTTAGTTGACCAATACGTTTTTTTTGGGGGGTTAATATCTGATGCTATCTGGTCATCATTGGACATGGCCATCGACGATCCTGCTGTTTCAATGGCCGAGCCGATCCAGGACTCCGGGCACAACTTGATCTTCCGTTTGCATCAACGGGGCGTTTTCGCACAATTTTTTTCCACGGTATACGGCAGGATTTCAAACGGAGAACGGAGCACCGAAACGGGCGCACAAAAAGTTTGAGAACGCATCAGTTTCTACTCCCCAAGTTTACCCGTCTTCTCCATGATTCTCTCCAAGCAGCTTAAAAGCAGCACTTGGCCCAACAATAGTTCAATCAACCTGTGGCAAGGCCAGGTGAACCAGGTGACCATTTGATAAACTGTGGGTTCAACAAAATTCTGAGTCAACATCACACTGCTCAATTTGTTTGAAGCCGGAAGCGTCAACCAAAACAAATCGATGTTTGCGGTGGGGAGGGTTCAACAGCCAGGGCATCTGTAGGTCCAAATGTGGATCTCATCTGGGTTGCTTTGGATCCAACTTGAGAACACAGAGACCCGAAAGCTTTTCAGAGTTGGATTAGTATTTATACCATTTTATACCTACGGAACACGTCCTGCTTGTGAAGAATCAGGTGCCCAACACAATGATTTATCTGTGCGCATTATCAGAGTGGCCAAAATGCATCGGTTGCGAATTCAGGCGCCAGGTTGGGATTCGCAGTTGACTGATGGACATGAAACTCATTGACCTTCCAAGGCTGGTTATTCCAAAGCATAGGATTGGACACCAGAAGGGTACCCTCTGGTAGAGACGGGTACGACAATTAAATCATGGTTGGGCACCCGTGTACCCTCTGGTAAACTAACAGTTTGCTATTGAACATGGCCATAGAAATAGTGGATTTTCCCATTAAAAATGGTGATGTTCAATAGTTAGTTAGTTATGTGGCTATTTCCCAGAGGGTAAAAATTGAGGATGTGAGTGACACAGAACACAACATTTTTCAGTGGCTGCTGCAGAAGCCATTGTCTTGGGATCAAAAAGTGCCGATCTCTTCCAACACATCAAAGGTCATTGTCACAAGGCTGTCCATATGTTGATAAACGCAGCAAACTCATGTGGGTAAAAAAACATGAGCCATCCCCCAGTCATCACCATTCGTATAGGTGGTATGTTTATGTATGTTTATCATTCCCAGTCATGGGTGATTTATGACATTGTTTTGCCCACATTAGATCACATTAGTACAATAAGTCCAAGTGGTCAAGTGGTCATCGATGGTGATCGCCAAGTGACACTCGATCCTGATAATCAGAATGAGCTGAGAGGTGCCAGCTTTGCACGCATACCGCCTGGCGAATCCGCTTCGGTCGCTTCGTTTTTTGGGGGGCAACCTGCATGCGGATCCATTTTCCTATGTTTTCCTTGACACAAAAACACGGTCAAAACATACCCTCTGGCAATTTAACATAACTATAGAAAATCATTATTTTTAATGGGTAAATCCACTATTTCTATGGTCATTTTCCATAGCTTTTTGTTAGTTTACCAGAGGGTACATACGGTTCCATGCTTCAAACATGGTCATGGATCCATGATTTTGGTCAGTGACCAACAACGGAAAAGCATGGTTAAAAATATCCCATCTGATATCTGATCTTTAAGAAACGTGGAGATATTTTTGTCCCTTCAACGCAAAACACCTCTTGTGAGTTTCCCATAAAATGGGTATGTCTGAAAATGGTGTATACCCCCAAATTATATCCATTTAGTAGGGATAATGATCATTAACCATTGGGTGTAGGGGTACACTGTTTTCAGACAAACCCAAATCAACTTTTTGCCACAGCGGTTCTCCAAGCTACGAGCAAGACCAGGACAGCCGCGAGAATTTGGCTGCTTCGCACCTGAATCCGCTAGCAGCACTGCTTTCTTGTTGATGCTGTCCTAAATGTTGATGCTTCAGCGGCTTCATGATTCCATCATGCTTAAGTTTATTTGATTGTGTGTGTGCAAATGTGTATAATGTGTATAGTGTATATGATATTATATGATCATATATCTAAATATTATATGTGTATTATATTGTATGTAGATAGATACACAGTAAGCATGTCTGGAGTAACTAAGCGCCAGCTCTATTTCAGAAAACTGCCTATCTCCGGCCATTGATCGGGCCTGCAAGGCAAAAAAGAGGAGGCAGGAGAAGGGAATGATGTGGAGGGCGCACTGCTCTTTTGTCTCCTTGGGCACCACCGTGCGGTTGATGATGAGTGATTTGGCAGTGTGTCAAAACCAATAGTACCCCTGTAGTTCACATCAAAATAGCTTGGATTTATGGATGTTCATCCCACTAAAAATGGTATGTATAGGTATTGATCCATAGCCATTTGTCCGTGCTCTTTGGCATTGAGTTGGTGACATGTTGCTGACCCTGATAGAAATCATGCAATGACAGCACGCCAATGGCGTCCCAACTCTTCCCCGCTTAACCCCAGAATCCAGCATCGATGATACCAGGGTGGTATTCAGATACCTTTTTCAAGGAGCCCTAAGAGATATCCAGGTGTTGAGAGTGCCAAGAAAAAACAGTTTGAGGCCCTTTGAAGTACTTCCAAACACCGAAATTTCCACAACTCAAGAGCTTCAGTTCACGCTTTGGTTTTCCACAAACCCCTCTCCCCTGGGTTTTTGTGGGTGCCCTGGGTGAGCCGAGGTACCAAAAAGGGTAGAATTCTGCATAGAGAAAGGAGCACAAAAGCCGTGAAGATGTCCTGAGCTGGGTCCCAATTGGATTGGCCAAGCGGTTTTTTCCAAATCAGCAGCTGACGCAGCAGGTGGTTTGCGGAGGCCCTAACAAATGGTCACTGGTGATGGTGATGATGATTATTATTATTATTATTATTGCTATCATTGTGATTGTGATTATTGGTGATTATTGTTATTATGATTCATGATAATCACCTATAATCACCTATAATCACCTATAATTTTGAATGGTTCTTAGCCTCTATAATCCCCCCTGTCTGTCAAATTTGACGTATGCCCCAGAACTATGGAAGGAACTATGGAAGGAACTATGGAAATAACTATGGAAATATACACCTTCATCATGATGTAAGATAATTTTTATAAGATAACATATTAAATTTATTATATAAACTATGTATACTATGGAAATATATTAAACTTATTATAAGATATTTTGTATGATTCATGATGTAAGTGATATAACATCATGAATCAATCAATCATATAATAATATCATATATTTATATATGAAATTAAATTATATAATAATATCGTTATTATTATACAGTAATGTCCAATCTTTTTGGGGTTCCCTATCAGAATATATACAATAATATTATAATATTGTTCATGGAATCGTATCGAAACATAATCATATAATAAATAATAAATCATATAATCATATATCATATAATTCATATAATCATATATCATATTAAGATTTATACAATGTATTCATGATGTTTTGCTATACATTGTTCTGATTGTGATGACAATGATGATGCTGATATGATGGCAGTGACAACATTCGCCCGCAATTCAAGGGTGCAGGTTTTGTGGCTCCAGCCAAGATGATGCATTTGCCAGTGTACACTTGCCATGAAGATTCGCCACCGAAGAGTTTCTTGCCTGAACTTATCTCAATTCCAATGGTATGTGGCAATGAAACATTTGATCAATGACATATTTTTTTTTGAAGTTTGGGCATGTGGCATGTGATACTTGTGACTGTGCATGACAATGAGGGACTGAGGAAGTGTTCAGATTGGTTTATATGTTTCCAGTGAAATTGACGGACAACCAAGGACGAAGATTTAGCAAGCCTCCTTCTGTGCTCCCTTCAGAGTGGTGTGGAAAGAGTCCAAGCTGCAAGCCAGTTTCATATTTTTTTACTGGATCCCTGACCCAGAGATGTTGATGTATGAAAATAAGACCCAGAGATGTTGACAGTTGCATCGATTGTTTGGATACAAGTACAAACTGATCACACAAATATTTTTTAAACACAGTATCGGAATCAGCAATCAGTACCTAAGTCATTTAAAAATCATCTAATCATAGAATCGGAAATCCTGATGAATCCTGTAAACTCAGTATTATTACGACTGCACAAGAGTCACTCCATGCACCACTGCATTACTTACTTTACTAAGGAATATTCCCATATGGCATCTATCTATCTCTTTGCAACATTTTGCAACAACAGTGACAATTTCCCACATAGTACCACCAAGCTGGCTGCATTGTTCCCTTAGGTACTTGGAGTTGGCTGGATTTGAAGTTGGGCACAACCCTCTAAGATCTGCGTTTCTTGTCCACGTGCATGACAGGGTGGGAGAAGGTTGGTCCTTGGTGTATCAAGTTTTGATACTTACAAAAGAATGGTTTGATTTTTCCATGTTGAGTTTTCCATTTGAAGTTAATTTGAAGGTGAAAAGGAAGAATATCCTTGTTCATTTCTCACATGTGTATCCAGTATCCAGGGTTTCTAAGATCTAACTTTGGGACTTAGATCCCAAGCATGGAATCGTAGGTTTGATGATTTGTTCATCTTTAGAATTTTTAGTGAACATTCTGCTGTGGCCATCTTTGGTTCTCAGACTGGGCCTTATGAAATCACGGAAGCCATGCACCACATCATCAGCATCTATCTATTTGTGCCAGGGGGGCATGAAGCCAAAAAAGATAGCCAGCAAGGCAGTAAGTGTGACTCTCATCACCATCATTGACCCTTCCTGTGGCCTTCCAGCCTTGTGCAATGGCAGCATTGCCGTCAGCGGGAATGGTGACCCGCTCGCCGTTGCTCGGGCAATTCATCAAGGGCCGCCTCCATGTCAACGTTGGCACCCAGATGATCCCAGTCTGGGTGGTGGGCGGGGATGACTTCGTCCCAGTGCGCAAGCTGGTACAGGACA